GTGATGAACTTGTCTAGAAAGCTCTATATATGTCCTTCAATTCTAAATGATAGCTTTGCTGGGTAGAGTAATCTTGGTTGTAGGTCCTTACTTTTCATCACTTTGAATATTTCTTGCCAATCCTTTCTGGCCTGCAAAGTTTCTGTTGAGAAATCAGCTGACAGTCTTATGGGAGCTCCCTTGTAGGTAACTAACTGCTTTTATCTTGCTGCTTTTAAGATTCTCTCTTTGTCTTTAACCCTTTGCATTTTAATTCTGATGTGTCTTGGTGTGGGCCTCTTTGGGTTCATCTTGTAGGGACTCCCTGTGCTTCCTGGACTTGTATGTTTATTTTCTGCATTCCTTTTCTTAAAGATGGCCTCCTAAACCATATAATATTCAGGCCTCACAAAATCTGGATATATCTCAGAATGGTATAATTAAATCTTTACCATAATCCTGAAAAGTATATATTATCACTGTTTCACAGTCTGAAAACTAAAGTGCTGAGAGATAAATGCTATTTCCAAAGATATACAGTAGGACCTGGCAGGGCTACAATTTGAACCCAGGTCTTTCCACATACAAAACTGGGTGAATATACTTAATGCCAATTAACTATAACTGAAAAATGGTTATAATAATAAATGTTATGTTATATATATTTTGCCACAATAATAAAAAAAAAAGGCAAACTCCAGAATGTTAGGCTTAGGCCATAAAAATTTCTCTAGTATTTAACACATTGTGAGCATCATACACCAAGGTGATAGAAAACTATTGCACACCCTTCTTTAAAAGAATTATTCTGAAGGTCTTGAAATATGAAACAAGGTATCACTTCCAGATTCTGTGCTTCCCAAGTTACACCCACAAGCTGTAGCATCTACAAACAATCCACTGTGTGGCACTTCACATATAAAGTTACATCAGGGCCAAATGCACCCATTTCCACTATCTTTTAGCTACTCTGTCAGAGACATTTTCATGAAAAGACAACAGGAGGTAGACTTGTCACCAGTACTTGAAATAAAGCAGGTTAACACAGCAATGCCATCCCAAGACCTGATAGTCATTACTAAGGTCGCCAGGGTTTGAACTGGCTCCCAGCCAGCTTGACTCAGTATTTACTCTCCCAGAGGTGTTTTGAGATGTTCTGGAGTTGGCCCAGCTGGGCCTAAGATTGTCATTCTCTGATGTGGATGAGTGACAGGGTCCTAGAAAGACCAAGTCAAAACACAGTGACTCAGATGGGCTCACATGGCTTGCTGAAGTCAGGATTCCACCGAAGGCAGCCCATTTCTAAATCTCAGAAACCAAGGCCAGCTGAAGGGCAGAGTGCGAGAGGTGCTGCTTCCCTATCTGTGAAGTGCTCTATGAGTCCGCCTTCCCCCATTTCAGACCCTTTGAAAAGGGTCGGACCCTCAAATAGATGGAAGCATGCTGCCTTATGGGCCTGAGCAGCCTATCTGAAAATATAGATGGTGTGACTTGGGATCTCTTCATTTTAAGGAACATAGAGACTCCTTCAACCACCCACAAATGATGATAATTTTTTGTAAGAATACACCTTGCTCTAAAAGAGACAGGATGCTGGGGAAACCCAGGAAGAGCCAGGCCTTGGGGAGATCCGATCTGGAGGGGCAATTAGGGTCCATGGCAGCTCTTGACCTGGGCCATGTTCTGTCCCCTCAACAGAGTGAGTGTGTGGGTCTGACTCGAGCACTCCTCAGTTCATGGGGCTCAGGGGCCCTTCCTTCTCCACTGCTTTGACACTCTCCACCCACCACCTCATCGACTCATCATAGCTTTCCTCTGCCCGGGGTTCTGTCTCCTTGTAGCTGCAGATTCCTCCCAACACTGCCTCGCTCCTGAAGCATTATGTTCCCTCTAAACTCATGTCCTCTCTCAGCCAGCTTCAGCCCCCATGACCAAACCCCTGATTTTGGTCTGTATTTTCCAGCTCAAGTTCCATCCATATACAGAAACAGAGGTAATTAATCTGGTTGACTTGGCTAAGGGGACACCGTTTTTCTTCCGGTGCTGGGGTGCTGGCCACTCCTGGAACAATAGGAGCAGGGACAGGTACTTTCCAGGAGAGGGCACCAGGCATCACATCTTCAGGAAGCAAGAATGTTTCCCCTGTGCCTTTTAGCTGGTACAAATTATCCAGCGCGGTGCCAAGGGGAAAACACCGTGGGTGGATGTTTAATTGTAGCATTGCTGTACTCTGTATTTTCTCTTAAATTCAGCTGCTTCTCTGCACCCTGCATTTTAAGCTTTCATCACCACCCAAGTGGGAAGCACCTTTTCCCTCTCCTAATTGCATTACGTACCTTCGAAAACCAGTTATTCATCTAATCACTTATAAACTTAATATTAATGGAGTACGTGTTTTATAACAGGCAAAATTGTAGATAATGAAGACTTAAAATTCATCCACGTACTTGATAAATAGTAATTGAATACTTACAAAGTACAAGCATTAAGCTGCTTGCTGGGAATATAAAGATAACTAAGACAGTCCCTGCCTGATACCAAGTAAAAATACAATAGATGCGTGTTGAATAAATAAATGCCTTAAAAGACCTCACAGCCTAGTGGGGGGAGAGGCCAGGATGTAGACACTTACAAGGACAGTGAAAAGGGCTAGCTTGGGGAAAGCCTCCTGGAAGAGAAGCCTGGAGAGACCATGAAGTTCTGTGTGGGGGAAGACCCAGTAACATCTACACTGAGACTTACATGGTGAGTTGAGTTAGTCAAGTGAAAGGAATAAAAAGGCAAGAGCGTCCAGGCAGCACAAATGGTGGGTGCAAAGGCTTGGATGTGGGGGAGAGGCTGCAACTGGGCTGGAGAGCAAATAAAGCAGTGCCCTTGTTATTTAGGGACTGGATGGAATTCTGTACTTGGAATAGCACAAGGTCCCCAGTTTAGCAACAGGGTCACATTGAGTGTCTGGAGTTCCCTGGGACCTTGTTGTTGCTGCCTGCACCCAGTTGGAGATGGTCTGACAGTGGGATATATCACATTTAAAATAAAATTCACGGTCAAGACTACATACAATCTGATCTCTGCCTCTCGATCTAACCTCATTTGATTATGCTCTGTCTCTCGTCTTGCCCTCCACTGTCCTTGGAAATGCTCAGCACGAGGCTGTCTCAGGGCCTTTGCACTTCGTTGCCCAAGTCATTTAGGGATCTGTTAGGTGTCAATTGAGCAGAGAAATCCTCCCTGACTATCCTAAACGCAGTAACTCACCCTTCCTATCCCTCTTTCCTTTTACCCAGCTTTATAATGTTCATAGCCTTATCACTGCCTGATTTTAAGAATCTTTCTCTCTATTACTGCTCCCCAGCCTGGAATATATGTTTTATGTCTCAAGAGCTTGGCTTTGTTTACTTGGCTTCTTCTAGAACAATCCTTGGCACAAAGTAGATGTTCAATAAATATTTGTTGGATGAATCAATGAATGAAAACTAATACTAGATACAAAAATGGAGGCAATATCAGGGACACAGATAACTTGTGTAGCGATCTTTGTTCTTCAAGCTAAATCAACTTAATTCATAGGACTGTATTTTTCTCCCAAAAGGCATACTTCCAACTCTTTCATAATTCTGTGTTCTCTCTACAGGATTGTTGCCATGTTCTTCTAGGTTCTTGTGTATGATAGAGTTCAAAGCCTTCTGAGAAGAACCTGTAATTAGTTTTCCTCTTTTCATAGGTTTCATGTGCTTGCTTAGAAATGCACTTTAAAAAATTAAATTTATTGGGGTGACATTGGTTAATAGGATCATATAGGTTTCAGGCGTAGATTTCTATGTTACAAGATCTGTATATTGCACTGTGCACCCACCACCCAAAGTCAAATCATCTTCCTTCACCATATGTTAGGACAGCCCCTTTCACCGTTGCCCCCCATATCTGCTCCACCCTCTTCCCAGAACATAAGCCACAAAGAAGCTTAAGTTCAGTTTGGAGAGAAAGTGAATATTTTATTATTACCTGTTTGTAGTCTCTACACATCCAAAATGTCCTCTTTTTAAAATATATATATATATTTTTATTGATTTCAGAAAGGAAGGGAGAAGGAGAGAGAGATAGAAACATCAATAATGAGAGCGTATCATTGATCGGCTGCCTCCTGCACGCCCCACAGTGGGAACTGAACCCACAGCCCCGGCATATGCTTCCACCCGGACTTGAATCGTGACCTCCCAGTTCAAAGGTCAACACTCAACCACTGAGCCACGCCGGTTAGGCGCAAAACATCCTCTTGAATACATTAGGAAAATATATGAATCACCCTCATGAATTTAGCCATGGCTTGTATGAATTTTAAGTTTGTCACTATTTTGTTCAACAAATAAATACCTCCTATGCTCCACGGGGTGAGCTAAAAGCTGGGACAGTACACAACCAAGAGCACTTGGTTCCTATCAGGAACGACTCAGAATCTTGGGCATCAATGTTTCAGTTTCCACTATTGTTATTTTGAGACTAATTCTGGTCTAATTTGATTTTATTATACTTATCTAAAATATTGTTTTTAAAATAAGATTTCTATACTTATATAAAAAAGTATCTTCCATCCAATGTGAAAAACAAGGGAGCATAATGTTTTGCTTTCCTTAGCCTGCCCTCTAAATTGACTGTGAAATGGTTTCTATTTTTCAGAATTTATTTCAATCCTCTGCAAAGGATTTAAAATGGAATACAAAAATCTCAGGTATTTTTCTTTAGCTCAATTTTTTAAACCCTCCTTACCTATAACTTACAGATTTGTGTTTCATTTATCATCTTTACTGTTTTTCTTTAAAATTATTTTAGAAACAACTTTAAAACATTTCAGTTGCTCTTTTGACATTTCACTGATCAATATTTCTCTGAAGGTACTGACTTTCTCTAGGATGCAGAGAGACTAGTAGAAATTACACAAAAATTTCTACTGAATGAATTTCTCCACCTTCTTGGTGATTGTACACCTGCTTTCCTTATAAGGAGAACAAGGAAGTAAAATCATGTTGAAGTTGCTCTTAAGCACAGCTTTTCTTCTTTACCTGTCCAGGTAGCCTCTGTTTTCATTTGTCTTAATGAAAACTTTTTTATTTACATCTCAAGTTTCTTTTCAAAGCAGTGTAAGTAGTATTCAACATTTTACACTTCGAGGAAAAAAAGACTTTAACGATGTTCAGCTTTGGTCTTGTAACGCTGAAGGTAATTCATTTTTTAATCTGTTTGCACAGCGAGAACTGAAACGAATGGGGATTGAACTGCTTTGCCTGTTCTTTCTATTTCTAGGAAGGCACGATCACGTACAAGGTAAGACCTGAGCTCTCCGATATATTGCTTTCGTGGTATGCTTGACAAACCTGTCATTTGGTTCAGAAACGCGATCTGAAGTCATTTTTTATTTAACCGGTTTGATTGCTTTCTTGCCATTGAGTGAACACTTTAACAAATTACAGGCAGACGCGGGACTGTTCCACAGTATATGCTCTAGGCTAAAGTAAATAAATACAAAGGTTGCATGGGCACTTTAATGAGGAGAATTAAACAGCATTACTACACAATAGGACTTCTTAATACATTTGTGACAACTATTTTGTTAACTGTACTAGCTGGTTTGTTTTTTTTTTAATACAACAAGAGTAATGACCTTGAGAGAGAACAGGGATTTATTTAAAAACTAAAACTATAGTACATTTAAGAGAGGAATATTTTTAAATAGGTGCAAATATTTTTTTTAAAATTAAAGTGGATAATAATGAATGAGGACAGTAAATGATGATTTTATATTTGTGAACATTGGAATATTTCCTATTTTAAGAATAAAGAGAATGATCATTTTGGGATAATAAGACATACATATTTTCAATGTGGTTGATGTCAAATATAAACTTTATCAATTGGTAACATTTTGAGGACTGATCTTTGAAGACAGAAATAAACTTGGCTATTGCTTCGTTCAAGTACTTTAAGAGCCATAAGCCTGGAAAGTGAAGTGACTGAGAGGGTGCTGAATCCCTGTGTTTTGCTGGGTTTAAACACAGGTGGCTGTGCCATGGGAGGTGCAGAGACCTGCGGAGACTGTTTGCTCATTGGACCTCAGTGTGCCTGGTGCTCTCAGGAGGTAAAACAAATGACCTCAACGTGATTGTAAAAGCCTCAGTTACACTTACATTAATGCCATCAATGATGTTCTGACTGTGTCCTGCTCTCTGTGGGGTTAGAGGAATCAGAGAAACCTAGGAGGGAAAATGTGAGCATTAGTAGATGGATCAAAGTAGTCATTGCTGTGATTACTTTCAAAAGCAATTTGCAGAGGGAGTGAATGTCAAATTCTTCAGAAAAATATTTAACTCGGGGTCCGTTATTTCACCTGATTCCTCCCCTTATATTAAAGCCAATTCTAACTGTTCACCGGTCAAATGCCATCAGAGGTCATGGAGATGGTATTTTCTAATGTTAAAAATATATTTGACTTCAGTACCATAATTGTAGTCCACCTGTGAATCGGGATCCATTCTGAAACATTGCGAGATTCTAAGAGAAGTGTTCTAGGTTTGGGTTAAACTTTACTATTCAGACATTACCCAGTTCTTTTAAACATTACATTTTCATGAGCTTGGTGACTGTACCACAATGACCAAGCCCCAAAATAGCATTCCTTCTCTGTTCAAATGGAAAAGTATGTGGAGGTAGTACAAGGACTAGGGGATGTATTATAAGCCAGCCTGAGTCAATGCCTCCTGTGACACTAGAGAGCAACCTATAAATGATTCTTGATAAAAACAACAAAAAAAATCTGCTTAGCTTTTTCTGGATTTAGAACACTGCGCTACTGAATCTCATAAAGAGAATCTAAACACAAATCAAAACATACTAACGCCAAGTTCAGCAAGGACTGGTAGCATGCTCAAGGGGAACCAACCTGGACCCCTCACTCAGACCAGGCTAGAACTGTTCAACTCGCCTCCCAGGCTGAATGTAAACCCGTGGAGGAGGGCTTCAGGGACCCCAGAGTGAAAACCAAGCTCATGCCCCCTACCTCTTGACTGATGAGGCACAAACAAAAGTGCAGTGCGAGGGAATTATGCTTTTTCTTTTCTTCTTTGTATTAAGTTTATTGGGGTGATATTTGTTAGTAGAATTATATAGGTTTCAGGGGTACAATTCTATAATACATCATGTGTCTATTGTATTGTGAATCAAGTTTTCTTCCATCACCATATCCCCTTTTGACCCTCTCCTACCTTCTCCCATTCCCCTTGCCTTCTGGTTATCACCATACTGTTGTCTGTGTCTGTGAGCTGTGTGTGCATGTGTGTGCATGTGTGTGTGTGTTTTGCTTAATTCCTTTACCTTTTACACCCAGCCCCCGGGATTATGCCTTTTTGAGCTCGTGTATGAAGAGTAGGTTTGAGAATATACAAAGAAGGGAAAACCCACATTTTTTTTACATTGACTCCCTGAAAAAGACAATATTAGTTTCCTACCAGAGACGTAAAACAACAAATCAGTCTAACAAACTGTTCACTCTGGAATTTTTATTTCAATGCATCTTTTAGCACTCATTTAAGAGAGCTTCTTAAGTTACTACTGATAGCTTTACCTGGGGATGATACTTGGTAGTCAGTTATTGTCAAATTTTAAGGCCAGATTATTCTAAAAGATTACTCTAATGGTAGCAGTTATATCAGCTGAGGCAGTTGGAACAAAAAGTAAATTAGGCTTCTTCTTAGAACATATAGAAGAATAGCTTCTATGATTAATACCAGCTCTAGTCTTTTGGCAAAGATAGTAATTATAGGTGGTAGCAGTGACATGTTGAGAAGGGTTGCGAGGCCTTGTCCAGCCACTGTTTACCTTGGATACATCACAGAAAGTTAGTTTGCTACCCGTAGCCTGGTGCCTCAAATATGCACAGGCTTGACTGATATAGAACGAATTACAGTCTCAAAAATCAATTTCAGAAGGAAAGTTTCCTAGCTGGTGAAACAGCAAGAGTGGCTTAGAATTCTAAGGAATGAGAACAACAATATGAGCATTGGTTTGCCTCTTTCCAAGCATAAGAGTCAATGGGCCTCAAGTTTGACTGCTTAGAGCCTCACAAGTTCTTTCCAGGTAAGACAAGTATTTATCCTTCCACTCCTTCTGCCTTTTTGCTGGGAATCCCTGGCCACATGTCTTCCTGGAAACACTCATCTCACTGCCTCCTGCTACTCGGCTGAATCAGAGCTACTGGGAAATTCCCGAGTCTTATACACAAAAGCACTCTATTCTCTCTCATTTCATTTCCCCACTTCCAAATCTTGGGAAAAGTTCTAAAAGATCTTAAATTGAATACTTTAAGACACTGAGTTTAAAGTCCCCAAGAGGTTAACTTTAATGAAGTACTACTGTAACGTAAGGGTGATGCATCCATGTATTAAACCAGGACAGAGAGCTAGATAAAGCAATGTAGGAATCCACAGAAAAAGGTCACTGGATTTGGCATTAGACACACTGAGAACTTGGACAATCCTAGGATTCCACAAACCTCCAGGTCATCTGTGAATTTATCACAAATGATATTTACTGCATTATCTGACTCATCTATCTCACGATTCTGGACATAGCAAAGGAAATTTGAAAAATAAGCATTTTATACAACCAAAACAAATTATTAGGTAAATTCACTTGAATATAATAAAAAGAAGAATGCAATTTTACTCTGAATTTTAGTGGCAAAATTCTCTGGTTATTCTGCTATAACTTAATTTTAGACATACAATCAATAGCAGGGATATGACATTCTGAGTATGGCAAGATGCCTAACTAGTAAAGCAAGCAAAATAAAATTGTATCTTACAAAAATACAGATTTGTCTTTTTCTTTTTACTGTTTTTCTTTTTTAGAATTTTACCCAGCTACCTGGAGTTGGTGAAAGGTGTGATACTCAAGCAAATCTTCTAGCTAAAGGATGTCAAGTAAACTTCATCGAAAACCCTGTCTCCCAAGTAGAAATACTTACAAATAAGCCTCTCAGTGTAGGCAGACAGAAAAATAGTTCCAACATTGTTCAGATTGCACCTCAAAGCTTGATTCTTAAATTGAGACCAGGTATGTTATGATTGACATGAGCATTAGATCATGTAAAAATATCTAAGATCACATGGTAATATCACTGTTCTGCTCAGATACCTTGTACCACATATTACAATACCATTGTTTATTATTTCCTTTTCCCATTCTTAAGGAAATAGAGAACTGCTTTTCTTTATTCATATTGGTCACTTGTACTCCAAATGTGTCACTAAAAAAAGCCTTATCTAATAGGAGCATTTGAATTGCTCAAATGTTGTTAAGGTTTCCCTCACATTTCTTCAAGAGTTGTAACGTAGCTTTAAACTCCTTTTCATTTTGCTCTCCTTTTCTAAAAATACAAAAAAAATCAGCTTATCTCCCATCTAAATGGATGCTAGTCCTCCCAAGGAGATATAAAATATCCTAACTCTCACCTCCTTCAGTAGCTCTAAACACACTGCTGAAAGATTAGCATGGGCTCATTCATTTATAAACTTTGCCACTTCGTTTATGAAATCTTTAGTATCTTCAGTAACTTCTTATTGAAATGAAATAGGCAGCTAGCCTAGTGATTGGCTAGTCACAAACATGTCTCAATGCATATTTATGGGCTCGCTTTTCTTGCTTGGTATTTGCAGGTGGTGAACAGACTGTGCAAGTGCAAGTCCGCCAGACGGAGGATTACCCAGTGGACTTGTATTACCTCATGGACCTCTCGGCCTCCATGGATGATGACCTCAACACAATCAAAGAGCTGGGTTCCCTGCTTTCCAAGGAGATGTCTAAATTAACTAGCAACTTTAGACTGGGCTTTGGCTCCTTTGTGGAAAAACCCGTCTCCCCTTTTGTGAAAACAACGCCAGAAGAAATCGCCAACCCTTGCAGGTAAGTAAATGATTCTCTGGAATCTTTGAACACTGATTTACTGTAGAGATAGCCCCCGCTCTGAGCTGCACTTGGCAGGAGCTTGCTAACTCCCTGGCATTTCCCTCCTGTCTGGTTAGATCTCAGCAGCTCTCTCAGTTGCCTGGGTTGTTCAGAACCAAGGGAAAGTCATCTTAATACATGGTTCTAGCCTTGGGTCCTTGCAGCATCTGTCTCTCTGTGTAGGTCAAAATATGGCAAATTTGGCTCTGTGTTCTGCAGACAAGGGGACTAAGTCTTTCACTATGGGTTCCACTCACCTATGCCCATCCCCAGCCCATTTGAGACCATCTATTCTAAATGATCACCACTTTCTGTGGCCATTTGACAGTAAACCACATGTTCTCAGAGTCTCCACTATAATGACTTCTACCAAAATAGCATGTTTTGCAGCTTCCTCTGACATGCTTTGGGAAATGTGGATTTCTCTTTCTGCTTGGAGAAGGCCTTTGTAGCCTTCACTGCTACCTAATTCAGTACAAAATTGGGTGGTGACTCCATTATAATATGCTGTAACCAGCAATTAAAATAATGTATTATGCAGGTGGTGATGGTTGAAGGTGAACTGCTTTGTGATGGTTTACCTATAGGGTCAATGACATGTTCCAAATAAAATTATTTCATACCCTTCTAATGAAAAATAACTATCATTTGGTTAGTGCCAGGCCATATGCTGAAGGTTTTACATAAATGACACCCTTCAGTCTTCATAATAACAGCAAGTCAAAGCAGATTCTCTTATCCCTATTCGGAGGAAGTAACAGAGGCTCTGAGAGTTTAGGAATTTCCCCAAGGCAACATGACTAATCAGGGATTTGTACTAAGATCTGGGTTGCTCCAAAACCAAGCCTTTTACTGCCATAAATATGGCATATATGAAATAATTTTCCAAGCCTCCATTGACTTTTAATACTTGTATGCACCCAGGCATCCATCTCTGTAAAAGACAAACAAGATTAATAATATCACTTTAAGACATTTCAGTGTGATTTCCAACTAGAATCTGACATAACCCAAAATAATTTGACCATGAAAGGAATTCATTACTGATTGTAACTCTTGGGAGTTGTGTTTGCATTCAAGTATCAGAGATGGTGTTTGTCCCCACTTCCTTTTTTGACATATAATTAACATATACTACAATGCATACATCAAAAATGTTCAGTTTGATGAGGTTTGACAATGGAATACACCAATATAATCATTACCTAAAACATGATATAGAACATTTTCATCAATTCAGAAACTTCCCTTAGGCCTTATTACAATCAGTTCTAGTTCACCAGAGGCAACCACTTTTTGGTTCCTGTAATTTAGATAGGTTTTTCCTATTTTGGGATTTTTTATAAATAAAGTAATGAAGTATAGCCTTCTGTGTTTGCCTTCTTTTGCTCAAAATAATGTTTTTGAGATTCATCCATGATTTTGTGTTTCTCAGTAGTTTGATCCTTTTTGTTTTAAGTAGTAGTCCATTATATGGATTTACTGTACTTTGCTTATTCATTCTTCCATTAATGGACATTATTTTGGATTGTTACCTATTATTTTGGCTATCATGAAAGATGCTGTTATGATCACTTGCATATAATTCTTTGTGTGGATAGATGGAATTTTTCTTTTTCTTAGGTAGATAACCAGAATTGGAATTGCTAAATGGTATAAGTATAGTTTTAATTTTTTAAGAAACTATCAAATTATTTTCCAAAGTGGATGTGCATTTCCATCAGCAATGTTATTCAAAAATCCTTGCTAATACTTGGTGTAGTCAGTCTCCTTAATTTTAGCCATTCAAATAAGTGTGTACCTCATTGTAGCTTAAATTGCATTTCCTTAATGACAAATAATGTTGAGCATCTTTTCATGTCTTTATTTGCCAATCTTATATCTTATTTTGTGAGGTATTATTTCAAATATTTTGCCCACTTTAAAAAATTAGATTGTCTTCTTAACATTCTACTGTATATGTTCTTTATACATTCTGGATAAAAGTTCTTTATCAAAGTTCTTTATCTGTTTTGAAAATATTTTCACTCAGTCTATGGATTGTATTTTTATTTTTCTAGCAATGCCTGTGGTCACGCAAAAGTTTTTAGTTTGGATAAAGTACAATTTATCAATCTTTTATGTAATGGTTAGTTCTTTGTTTTCATACAATAAATACCTTTATTTTTAAATCATCACTGAAGTTCAAAAGATCATGAAAGCATGAAAATCATGAAGTTTGTGCAAAGAGAGCTGGTTTTACTTTAACTTCCTTGGATGCTTAAGTTAATCCTCTCAGGAATGATATAAGAGAATCTAATGACACCAGTTATTTTCTTGAGATGTACAACTAGTTACCGGCCTGCTTAGTTCCTTTTTTGTCCTAAGAAATTTTTGTGAACCCCAATGTCACAAAGATGCTTGCTATGTTTTCTTTTTTTTTTTAATATATTTTATTGATTTTTTACAGAGAGGAAGGGAGAGGGATAGAGAGAGTCAGAAACATCGATGAGAGAGAAACATCGATCAGCTGCCTCCTGCACACCCCCCACTGGGGATGTGCCTGCAACCAAGGTACATGCCCTTGACCGGAATCGAACCTGGGACCCTTGAGTCCGCAGGCTGACGCTCTATCCACTGAGCCAAACCGGTCAGGGCGCTATGTTTTCTTTTAGAAGCTTTTCCATTGAAGCTCTTGCAGTTATGACTATGACCTCAAAATATGTGCTTTTATTTGAATGAGGAAAAAGGCCTATGTTTCCATGCAAATATCTAGAACTATTTGTTACGCAAGATTTTCCTTTCCCCATTGAATGATCTTGATGCCTTTGAAAAAGGGCAATAGACTGAGTATGTGTGAGTCTAATTCTGGGAACTCTATTCTGTTCCATTGATCCTTTGAATACAGTCATGTAACCCTAATGCTTTATAAATCTTTATTACTGTAGCTTTATAAAAAGTCTGGAAATCTGGAGTGCAAGTCCAACTTTGTTGTTCTTTTGTTTTGGCTATTCTACATCTTTTGCATTTCCATAGTAACTTTAGAATCAGCTTGCCAATTCCTTAAAAAAAATATGCTGAGATTTTGATTAGAATTGCATTGAAACCACAGGCCAATTTGGGCAGAATGTACATCTTAAAAATATTGACTATTCCAATCATTGCACATGACATATATTTCCATTCATTTAGATCTTGTCTCATTTCTCTCAGCAATGTTTTGTCATTTTCAGGATAAAATCCTATGCATCCTTTGTCTGGTTTATTGCTATGGACTTTTGAATGCTGTTGTTAAAGTTATTTTTTAAATTTCATTTTCTAATTGTTTGTTGATAACATATACAAATGCAATTGATTTTGCATATTCACTTTGTATCTTGCAACCTTGATATATTTTCTTATTAGTTCTAGTCTGATTTTTTGTAGATTCCTTAGGATTTTCTATGTACATAATCAAGTCATCTGTGAATAACAACTTCTTTCTCTTCAATATTTATTCCTCTTCTTTCTTTTGCTTGCCTTTCATGCTGGCTAGGATCTCTTGTACAATTTTAAGTAGAAATGGATAGAAGCTGCCCTTCATCTTGCTTGTGATCTTCACCTTTAAGTATGCTGTTACTTATGGTTGTTTTTGTTGTTGTTGTTACTGTTTTTGATTCCCTTTATCAGATCAGGAAAGTTTCCTTCTATTTCTTGTTTGGTAATATTTTTTTAAAGTTACAAATGAATATTGATTTTATTTCCTCAATTTAAAGAGTTTTGCCAGAAAATTTAAGAACTCCTTACACTTGTGTATCCTTGGCCAGGACTTAGTTACATAGCCACAGCTAGCTGCAAAGGAAGCACATTGCTACCCCAAATAGAATCAGAATTTTGTTAGTAGACAAGAAAAAAAGAATGGATTCTGAGTGACATCTATCAATTCCTGCAACACTGAACAGATATCTATAGAGATATAATGATTTGTATCCTCAAAAATGCTGTATAATAAATAAGTTATGATTATCATTATAAATTGTTTGATTCACTTGTAAAGGGAAAAAGCTTGGTGCTATGAGCCTCCTAACTCTTTAATATAAAGGCATTTCTAATGCTGTTGGCCTTTTTAGAAAAAAAAAATCAGAATATTGCACCAGTCTAAAATTTCTATATATTATGTCTTTCTCCTTCAACAAGCTTCAGTAGAAAGTCTAGTAAAACAATTCTATCTAGCATTACAAAGTGCTCCCTCTGCCCCAGGGGTTTGTTTAAAATCATTTTTTATGTCACAGGTCAGATCAGATGTGGTAACATAAAGTACAAAAATGACCATAGGGCCCCAACCGGTGTGGCTCAGTGGTTGAGCGTTGACCCATGAACCAGGAGGTCACAGTTCAATTTCCAGTCAGGGCACATGCCCAGGTTGCTGACTCGATCCCCAGAAGGGGATGTGGAGGAGGCAACCAATCAATTATTCTCTTTCATCATTAATGTTTCTCTCTCTCTCTCTCTCCCTCTCCCTTTCTCTCCCTGAAATTAATTTTTAAAAAATTTAATAACAATAGGGAACAGTAGGTATGGAATGTTATCAGGAAAAAATTAAAATTAACAAACTTGAATGGCTCAGCTAAGCTGACAGCCCAGTATCTTGAATTAACAAGATCCTGTTCTTAATCAGGCTTCTAGAGAAGGAAAGCAGTATGGCATTTTATAGCTTTGATTGCATTTCATTCATGCATTCATTTATTCATTCATCCATTCAACAAAAACTTACTGAGCTCCAACTATGTGCCAAGTATTGTGCTAGGCATGGGATCCCTGGGAAAAAAGATCTGGGCCCCATCCTCCAGAAGCTGAAACCCTTCGGGGAGCAGGCACATGGTATGGTGTGGTTAAGAGCATGGGCTTTGGAGTCAGCCTGGAATAAGTCCAGATTCGTCTACTCACTCCCAATGTCCCCGTGAGTGAATCATTTCACCTCTCAAAGCTTTAGTTTGGAA